TGGAGCTCAGGAGGCACCCGGTATCCACTCACATAAGCTATCAAGAAAATGAATGCAAAGTTAGTGGGAAGGGTTGACTTCCCTGCCGCGTGCCAGCAGCACCTTAGCATCTAAAGGAGAGGAAAGAAACGATTGTCTTGTACGGCTTCATGTGCTTGGGGAGTACGGCTCGAAGGGCAGTGACGCGCTTGCGTCACAATTATTAATTAGAGAGTAGTCAGAGCAAAACATAGGCTTTCCGCAAGGCATTCAGATGAGCACTGTGGGAGATGCTCTTTGCCGTATAGCCTGACCTTACACCCTCGTTGACAATTTCTCCTTCTATGTCTCTCCTAATGCCGGGCATTCTGCACAACCGAGCGATCATTGACAAATAAGCGCCTCAGACGCTGATGTTGCTAGATTACTTTTAACATGGGTTTGCCTCTTGGATTGCCGGCGCGGGCTTAGGTAAAATTTACGATCTCTCGCGCAGCGCAGTATTATGCGTGAAGTCTCTCCTATCTACGCAGCATCCGCACTTGTAAATCTGTCATACAAAAGTCGGGAGTGTTTCTTTTTAAGTTCTTCAGGTGTGGGCCCTCCTTGCCCACCGCTGGGTGACGCTGGAAGAGTAAATTAAATAACAGGGCGGAGCTTGCGGGAACCCAGTTGCCATTGAGCTACGCAAGCTGCACAACGGCGTCTTGAACTGCAAGCATGGGCAGTGCGGCTTCTAATTGGATGAGAGTGCCGGGAAATGCAGCTTCCAGCATCTACTGAACGTCCTCAACTTGACGCAGCTTTGCACAAGGCTAAACTCACGACGCTTACGCTTGCGGCTAGTTCATGCTTGTATTCGCATAATGTTTTGCCATCAGCTGGCCCTTTGTACGGTGTGTAATTTATGGGGTGAGCAGAGCACAGCGCCCCTTGCGGCAGTATGACCCTCGGCCAGTCGTTGAATATACCCGTCAGTTCCGCTCCTTCGTCCAGTGGAGCAACCTTCGGTACTCCTTCGACTCCAAGCGATCAAACAATAGAAAAGGAGCTTTTAATCAAGCATGCTGCGATTTGCCGAGAACCACCAGGCGCCTCGCTGCATCAATCAAGACCTGCAGTTCGTGCCTGTAATGGTAGTTTTGGCGATTACAGTATGCTGTTTTCATTTCACCTGCTCATGAACGTGAAGCAGAAATAATCTGAGACAATTCGGAAGACTGCCCCCGGCAGGGATTGACCATGACCTCTCAGTGATACTCGGCATATGCTTCGACATAGAAGAGATAAGAAGGCTTGGCTTTCTGCGCTGCCGCACCCCTACCACAAGCAGAAGTGTTTACACTTTAACCACCTAATTCCACTGTGCAGTATATATGCAAGGCCTTCGAGCTAGCCAGATAAGGAGCTGTCACTCCAGTTCTCTTCAGTCCCGTCCGGGCAATCAAGAAGGAGTGCACTCCCCACAGCGCATTTGGGCCCATTGCTTATTGTTCATACCAGCGAGCCCGTGAATTTTCATTGAACCCCAACACGTTTCTGTCCTCTGGGGCCAATACCGCTGCCATCCAGAAACCTTTGCCCAATCCTTCGTCATTTCCCTCGGTTGGTTGTTATCAACTTGAATTCATTTAATGAAAAGGCGAATCATTCCTTGAAGCCCTGTGCGTATTTTTTCAAGTGTAGCTGAGCGTGCTCAAGTGACAACTGCAGCAAACCAGTTAGACCTTAAGACGTTAAGGTAGTCGGCAGCATCTATTTTTTCTGCAATTCAGCTCAGCACAGGCTAGAATTATCTCGCCCCATTCCAGAGGGCGCAAAAGTATGAACTACAGATAGATCAGTTTGGCAGGGGAAGCTCGCCAAGTCTACCGAGCTCAGTATGAATATGAAGGGACAAACAGCAACGGGTTCAACACGCCTGAAGTGAGCTGCCCTTTTGTGTCCAGTTTTGCCTTCGCATTTAAGGTGAAAAAGCCTGAGATTGTTTGATATGCGATGCAGCAGCCGCGTGGCCCGTCTGGCCTGCTAGGATTTCCTAGCTCGTCAGAAACAGTGCAGGTGAGTGCTTTTCCTTCCATCACGCTGCCATGTAAAGCGCCTCCTTCACAAACACGAACTTGTCCTTGGCAACCAAAAACGCCTCCTTCCCAACCGAAAGCGCCTTTTTCGCAATAGAAACTACTATTGTCCATAAATTTGAACCTTTGTCCCTCTACAAATTCTCTTGTAAAGTGAGCATCGACGTAAGAGGAGCAAATTGAATTGTCAATGCACGTGAACCAATGCTATGCTATATGCACTTTGTGAAACGAGAGCCACTCAATCAGCTGACAGTTTTGGATGCTGTTGTGGCTTTGGGCCATCAGTTTTTCATGCTGGATGCATTACTGTGCGCAATTATTCTATTGGGGCCGGCAATGAATGCACCTAATTGGCGGTTTAGGTTTTTTGAGTTGACTGCGACGGAGGTGTCATACAAAGACCTTGAATTGTCATTCAGGTGAACAAGAGAGTGAGAAATTCTTGCAGTGCCACTCAGCAAGGCAACTGAGCCACTTGAGAAGGGCGTCTTCCGTCTTGGAGCCTCAGAGACGGTTTCGTGCGAACCAGCAGTTGCTTCAGTTTCACAAGCTCTTGTTCGAAAATTCATGAAGCTGCACTGAGCGCCCTGGTGAAAAATCTAGAATTTTTCTACATACCAGTTAAGTAATCTGGCTGCATCGAAGCAGTTGCACGTCAACGAATAGCGACTAAAATATGGCTGCTCCGGTGAAGTGTTCAACCCTTAATTCCTCTCGTGAGCCAAGACAGCAAGAGGCGCATTCGTTCATACAATCTGCAAATGGGCACCTGCCCCCTGCAGCAGCAAGCGCCTTGGTAAGGTATAGCTGCATGGTCTTGTGCTAATGCTGAGCTTTGCATCAGTCGTGTACGGTGTTTTTGTTCCCGACTAAAGCAGCAAATTCATGAAGAGTGAGAAAAAGTACAATACATCTAAACTTTCTTAAGGGGATCATGTGGTGTAACGCCACCTACTAATGTGGCTGTTTTGCTGGCTGAAAATGTTGAGTAGGATAATGTTTCCCTGAAAAGTGACCATTTTTTATTTTTTATAACGCTGCTGTCCCTACGTACGTCTAGACTCCGGCCTTTCAAGGCGCAAGTTCCAGGTATGCTTGTTGTGCTTCATTACAATACTTTCATAGTGACATTAAAGAATTGGCAGAATTTTTCTATCATTTGCAATGATGCATGCCGTGGAAACATATTTCTACGTGTCTCTACAAAAAAGTTTTTCAGAATTGCTACATGGTATTCGCAACTGAAGTCTGCAAATGCTTGCTCGCGAGAACATACCAGCAATTGCTACTGTGATGACAAACGGAGTGGCAAGCATCCCTGTAATTATCGCTGTACTGGCTTCCATTTTCATCCCTTTTCTACCTTAAGAGGCCTAGCAACCATTTTAACGCGTATACAAGTAGATTGGAATGGTGTCGATTTGAGGTTGAGGGGCTCATAACCGCAGTGAATTTGAAACGCAGTGAAGTACCACGTGTATATATTTTCAGCTGTAGAAATAACAACTTCTGGACAGCTGATATATATTCCAGCACGTATTTACTCTTCCTCTAAAGCCATAAACGCAGACAGAAAGAACTCGAGAGGCCGAATGGGAGGTGTGGGGTCCTGAGGTCATCTCAGGCGCCAAGAGAACCTCAACGCCATTCTGGAGGGTCAGTTGCCAGCAAAGCCAGTGGAAGTATGAGGATATTTAAGCATATCTATAGCTTTTGACGTTGCACGAAAGCAGGACCGCACTGGCCAACTGGGAAGCTGAGGATGCTGCCTGCATGCATAGCAGCATCCTCATCCCTATCTCCCAGCTATTAGAACATTCCAGCTCGTGGTCTTATGATTCCGTTTTGTTGCTCAGAGCTTTATGCGCTCGCCTTGGGGAGTAATAGTTGCCCACGTTGCAGAAGAATGTTGCAGGGCCTCTCCGCCCTCGGGTTAACTTCCTGCACTTGGTCAGAGTCCAGCACGAGACAATGAACCCTGAATTTTGAGTGCTTAGCGACACTACGATGCTGATTATAGGGTAGCTGTCATCAACTGATGGCTCAGAGTTCAGAAATTTGGGTCTAGCAGGGTTAAGACCAGCTTATCCTGCGCGACTATGCAATGTTTTAAGGGATCTGTGAGTGAAAGGCTGGCTTTGACTTCACCATTTTGCATGGAAGACCACTCATGCATATATTTTTTTAACTTCCATAACTAGGGCATACTGGGGCTTCCCTTACTCTGCCTGCTGCTTTGTCGCATGGTGCATCCTCTGAAAGCTGTAGCTTGAGTTGGTCTCACACTGATACAGATCCAATGTTCTGTCTTTACATTGTCTTACGTGAAGAAGAATTAGGAAAAATCCCTGTCGCTTTAAGAGTCCAACTGAAGTTATGCTGCTCGTGACCAGCGGTTCTTGAGGATGCACAGTTAGAACGCCTCAGAACAGCAGCCTGTCTCGGGCTCATCAACTGCTCCCAACGATTCGCTGAGCCTTCATCCGATAAGATCCACGGTCTTCGTTAGCATGAAGCTTGCTAAAAGCCGCCTCTAACATTGCTTTCCATGCTAAAAAGGTAATGATTCGCAAAGAAGTCGGGTTCGCGAGCGGAACGCTCGTTATGAGCCTGGCATTGTCCACACTCGCCACGAAGGACGAAGTTACCTCTACTCCGTGGCAACTTGTCCACTCCTTCACTTGCGCTTAAATTCCTATGAATACAGTTGTGGTAAATACATGAATACATGAATCTTCATTTAACGTTTTTGTTCCTTCTCCCCGCCTCGCCGCTGAAAAAAAATCTGCGGGTGCAATTATGTTCACATCCGAAGACAGCCCGATAAAAGCTACCCAACACTGATACTGACAACCCACTGAGAGAACTTTCGCTACATGCGAATATTCGAAGAATATTTTACATGCAAAAAACTGGGAAGGAGCGTCAGATCAAGAGATGGACCCGGATCTGCAGCGGACGGCAGTAACCAGTGATCCTTCAGCACCTCCTGCTGTCGGGAAGCATTTCGCTGGAAATCCCCCAGCTTTACAGCCGAGCAGAGAATGTTCAGAAAGACGCCAGCCATATAAGCAGCGCCTGAAACCCTCCAGGCGATCTATCCACTTCTGCTGGGCTGTTCTCTTAACGGCGTCGACTGTTGTTGCAATCGTCCTGAGCTGTTCTCGTCCCATTTATAAGCTCAGAGAACGTGAAAAGGTGTCACGAAGACTCTCAGAGTATCTACAGGGTATGGATGAGGCCTCTTTGCAGTCACTCATCGTCGACATGTGCCTCGAACTGTCAGAGGAAACTGGGCTGGCCCTTGGGCTTCCCACAACCATAGACGCGACAAGATCGCTACTTCTTGGAGCCTCAGAGGAACACGTGCTATTGGAGACGCAGAGAGGAAACTGTGAAAATTCTTCGCATTTCATACAGGACGTTTCAGCCCCTCCTCAGTTTTATGATGCCCCTGTGCCTCATCCAGGGGCTATAATGGGTGGAATGGTGGGGCAAATACTGTGGGACAATGCTGTAAAAGAGGCTCTCAGCATTTTTGATGAGGATGAGGAGCCTTCAGCCCAAGAGGGCGATTCAAACATATCAAATAGCAGCACTTTCGAAATGAGGGTCATGCAGAATGGAAGCACACAAAATACGTCTTCACAACTTTCCTGTTCACCACATTCAATGCATTCAGGCCGTGTGACGGTAAGAGATCTTGTATGGCCCAGTCATGCAGCATGTGGGGGCACGCTGCGGGATCCGCAGAACACGCCACATCCGACGGGGGAAAGCACCCAGGAATTTGAGGAAGATGACCGTCCACGCAAAGCACAAACATGGAAGTCAAGAATACTTAGGCTATCAAGGCATGACACAGCTCCCCTTGAAGGTTCCGACGATTATGTCGTGATGCACTTTCCGACAAACTCACATCTCTGGCAACCGCAGAGTCTTCCTCGAACGGTGCAATGGAGCCACACCGATGCTGAGAGGGCCCCACGGCAGATTCTGGAAGGCCTTGTTGCACCGTCTGCTGTATCAGCCGCTTCGTGCTTAGAAGAGGAACCGACCGCATCAGCTGCAGGTTATTCGATGTACCAAGCACTGCCATCATGCATGATGATGCCCAGATATACAGTGCCAGTCTGGCAGAAACTACAAGATGAGGACAAAAAGACCATTACATTGACATTGCCTTCAGGCCCCATACAAATTTCACCCACAGATCATCCTTTTTATCGCCTGCCTGTGGTGGAAGCAGGCGTCGAAGTACGCAGACTTGACAGTGAGTACTGCCTTCGGGATTTAAACCAAAAATTTGTCCTGGGGGTCGAGCAGCTGGCGCACATACGCACGTATCTTGTTAGAGATAGAATTCAGCAAAATGAGAGAGTGAACATCACACTTGCAGTTGAAAGACTGATTGTTTTACTGCTCCAGAAGCACCAGAACGGGGTGGCGCAAACCCACCCATGCCATGCAGCCCGCGTCCTAGGAATCCGGTACTTGATTTTCGACGCTATAGTCGCTACACTGCAACTCTTCGGCCCCGTAATGGAGGCGGAGCGCTGGTGGAGCGTGATTACGGCACTGGTGCCGACGAGGGTGGGTTTCGCTCCAAGCGCGGAAAGGCAAACGCGTAGCGAACAGTATGTTCAACTCGCGACGCGTTTGAGTGAAGCACTTGCTTTGTTGAAGAGGGGCGTAAGGCCCTCGCCTGCACACACTGTTGCCCTAAAAATGGCACTGTTCTGCCATCCAGATGGACCCCCATACTTTCAAGGTCCAGCGTGGGACGAATGGCGGGAGGACCACGAGTTGTACATTCAGAACAAAAGTTAATATTGATGGCGTGTCTTGACATCTTCCTCAATGTTATTAATCACGTAAAGCATACAACCAGAGTCTTCATTATTTCAGGAGGGTCAAGCGCAGCGATCTTCAGGTGTGGAGGCAATGCAATTATTCTCAAGCGCCTCCTCTTTTTTCGGACTATAATTTCCGTACGCCTGCTTTACGGCTTACTCTATGTTTTGTGGGCTACATTGTGTACAACTCTTCCTGGGTCGAGGCTTGCTGTTGCGCTGTGGCTATTGCAATACTACAGTCCTGCAGTGCCACCTGGCTCATACATGGGCTGCGCGAAACTATTGTTTAGAAGCCCTTTGGGGGCGTTCGACTCTTTGAAATCTTTCAAACAATATGTCAACTAAATGCTTGTGACCAGAATAGGCTCTACAGATTCGCCAGCCTGTCGCTGCGCCGACTAGCTCTGATTGACATTCACGGAATAAAGACTCCAAAGTAACAACTCACAGGGCCACTAGCCCCTGAATTGACCACTACGCTCGTGGAAAGTCCACGGCCAATACAGTCCACCAAGGCGAGCGCAATCACTGGGGCACCCTAGGAAACACTAATTAGTTCGTGCGACCACGAATGAACAAGCCGCATTTTGAATGAGTCAGGCTGAGAGACAAGTGCTAGTTTTTGCACCTAGCTACGAAACTCCAAGAGACGCCGCTGCAGGGACAAAGTGCATCATGGATGCAGAGCCGGCTGTTCCACCGGCCCCCTCAATTCACCTGCGGTCCGTCGCGTCCAGGGGCTACGAGGGCCCCAACAGCGCCTAAGTAGCCGTCGTGACGCAAAAACAGAACCTGCACCCATACCGAAGAGACATAACAACGCAGGAGCATTAAACCTACAAGATTCAAATACATTCTTACAACGAAGGCACAAACTTTCCGAACAGCTGCTGAGCCTGATGCCAATGCCTGCTGGTCTCTCCCAACCACCACGGAGAATAAGCTGCGGGGGCCAACTGCTGCTTTCCCCCTAGATAACTACTTCAGCAATTACCTCGAAAGGGGCCCATGCGGCAACTGGAGCAGCACTGTCACCATCTGGCGGCTGTACAGGTGGCGGGCCTAGCAGATTAGTACTGCTAGGGGAGCGTAAAGGGTTGTTGCTGAAGCTGGCCCGTTGTTCGTGCACGCTTTGTATGGGATTCTGCTGTTCGTGCACGAGTGCGTTATTGTGTGGCCTTGACGGCATCGAAACTGGGCTAACATCTTCATTGGGTGCAGCAATGCATACGCCAGACGAAACAACTCCGGTTGCTGCCCTCTGCGGAGATAGTGTAGTAGCATCGGCTGCTACTTCTGGTGCTGATTCTGCATCCAAGCGGCCAACCAGAGGACGGAACGTGCCGTCCGTGTGGCGTGAACCGCTTGGTTGTTCTACACCAATGTTGAAGTTTGCACGCATATCGTAACTTTGCTGCTGCTGCCGCTGTATCAGCAGCTGCTGCTGCAGGAGAATCCGCTGCTGTGCGTTCACATTGAAATTTGGGGGGGCTGCGAGCAGTGGTGAAGCCGGGCCTCGCAGGCAGCTTTGGGGTGTGTGTTGGTCATACTGCTGCATGTAAAAATTCACTCCTTGAGTAATGGATTCCATGGTGAAGTCATAGTTATTGATAAATTTCCCCGCAAAAAATATCCTGAACACCGGAAACGCAAAAGCCTAAGCAAACCTTTTTAGCGATAGCGCGATAACTGATGAACAATTGTGCGAAAAAGAGCCTATGGGCCACAGCAATAAATTTCTCATCAGATAATGCCGAGCCCAATTTAAAATACGAAGCTGGCATCGATGAACCTCTTAGTGAGTGCGACATCTCTGTTCTGCGCGCTGCGTAGTTGCAGTCCGGAAATGGGGCAGCCATGAAATCAGAATTTGCAAGATGCAAACGTGTTGGTTGCGGCGTCTTTGGCTAGAAGATTTAAGGTAAATAGAAGCCAAGCACGTAGCTACTAGTCACCTGCGGACGCCATGAGCTGTGCCAACTAGGTAGGCGAGGTAGCCCAAGTTGTATGAGACCATATGAATGAGGCTCCTCGCTATATCCTCCTTCCTAAAAATGATCAAAAGGGTTGATGAGCTTACAGGAACAAGTTTAAGTGGTGACGGCATGCATCCCTTCTTGCAAGTAGATGGATCGTGGCGAAAAGCCACAAATACGCACTCATGGAAGATCCCAGGTATCCGCACACAGCCCAACGCAATTCAACTAACTAAAGGAACGACTAGCATTCGTCTTGCCAGGCCAACTTCTTCACTGGCACACACGACGGTCGCACAGCAGATTTTAAGGGTGTCGACGTAGCTAGCGGCTTAAGTCATTAGCATTCTCACCTGGGACTCGGCCGGTCGTGGCTATCTTCTAAATAGAGACGCCCGAAGCTGCATACATAAAACGTACGTGCGACTTCTCCATGTAGTTTGCATTGCAGAGTGGACGTACCAGTCCTCTTTGCGGCACAGGAAACGAGAATGCAGTAGCAACACGGAAAAGCCATCAGTAGGGAAAATGTAATTAAGTGCCTGACGTAACAGTCTAGGCATCTTCAAGCCCTTAAGAACATGGAAGAATCTGAGTTGCCTCGCAGTGGTGTTCAGTTTAATACTGCTAAGAGGGGATGTGCGCGTTGTGCAACCCGCCATGCTGCTATCATTCTCATGAAGTGGTGAGCGTGCATCATCTCAGCAAGTTCAACCTAGACATATATGCAGAAAAAAAGAAGGAATAATGCAGCTGTGAGCTCCTTGTACCTTGAGGCTAAGGCATCAGGTGCTATGCAGCGGCTGCCTGCAGCGTCGCCGCAGAGATCTGCCACCTTTAAGTCTAACGCATCAGTCCCTGAGGACACGAAAAAAAACGCCGACGGTAGACATTTTGTCAGCGTCAATTTGGGGATGTTTTGTAATGTACCTGGCATACGCTACAAAACCGTGTTACACAGCTCGCCAGCTCGCCAGGCGGACAGGTACTTAGCTAGCTAGATCAACACCAGGCAACATGATCGCAAACGTCACGTTACCTCTTTCAGACAAACGAACAACCTGACGAAAACTCTTGGCGTGGAAGAGGAGGCGGGCCAAACCCAGCACAGTGCCGCCTCCAATGCAGGTGCCAGTTACCCTCACGAAGCTGCTGGCGCTCTTAGCCTGCATATATCCATACGTTTGCGGGTACAAGCTTGTATATATTCTTGAGATCAAAAACCAAAGACCCGAACAACCATGAAAAAATGTGTGTACGGGTGCGTGCACAGATGCCAGTGCGCCTGTGTGGACTGCTGCAGCAACAGCTGACTGCCATGATACGATGACAACCGTCACGTGAATAGATTCATGTGGAAGATTGCTTCTAAAAACATATACGTCAGCGCCACCCCGTGCCGGCCGACATTTCAAAGCCAACGCGAAAAGCTGAGTCAGTCAAGAGGACGCCTCACAAAAACATCGGGTCACTCAAGTGGACTGTGCAATTCCTTTAACACAAAAGTAAAGTCACAGCACGCTGCAGTTCACTATTCCAAACAGTTTAGCAGTGTGCACAAGCTCGCAAACATTTGTTCGCATGAACAAGAATTCAACCTTGCAAACGAGTACGTGGTAGCAACTTACCGTGCAAGTGAAAAACTCACCTTGAGGATAGAGACACCAGAGCCGATGTTGACCACCAAGAACGGGTAAAGGTCTCGTGACTGATTAGCAAAAGAAATGACAGAAGGCGCTACAGGAGGCGAAAATTAAATGTAGAAACCAAAAGTGGGGCAGAAAAGCGCGAGCAGAGAAACAGCACACCGCAAAGCCTTGGGCACCCAGCAGGGCGTGCCGTCCAAACAAAGGCGGAGAGACTCAGAGAAAGCACCATGCGCAGGCGACGAAAAGAAAATGGTAGTTGAAGTCCAGGCAAGTCACAGATGGGGACGTAGCGACGCGGGGGTAAGAGGCCACGCACATGGAAACGACAAAAATGACAGAAGACGATAGCGGAAGAGACGGCCAGTGAGCAGTGACAAGCATATCGTGGCAGTCGAGAAGGACACCATGAGGTGCTCTTAACGCAATAATGACTCAAGAGCCAGAGGCTGTGATGGTGATTTGGTAAGGCTCCTTACAACGTCCACAGGCACCCGCTGCCTCGTGTTCAAGTCAAAACGGAAGACAGAGTTCGTATGAGAGGCCAACAACACGAGGCCTGCCATGATGCTGTCTATTTCATCTGTGCGTTGCAAAGACACCCCAAGTTGCTCCGTGAACAGTTTCGCGTACTTCATAGCACCACCCCCTGTCATTCTTAGCACTCCCCCCTTGACAAGGTCGCGGCCTGACCCAAACATAAAAACAAGACAAGTCCACGGCGCCGAAGAGTGACGTCCAAGTCGCTCAACTCTGTCGTAATGAACGTGAACAGAGACAAATACACTCTGCAATGGCAAATGCGACGACAACATGCCAAAACCGGTGCAAAACAGCGAACGGCATACATACAGATCTGCGTAAGATAAACTCTAATAGGAACGCAATCACCAACAGGAGTACAAGTACAGCGAGGAAGAAACCGTGATGTGGTCAGTGAAGCAACAAATAGAATGTCGGTTCCTCAAGACGCTGAGCCAGCGGAGCATTATCTCGCCGAGCAGGAAGGCGGAAAAGGCGAATAGGGAAGCAGCAAAGACAGTGAGCGTTGGCGAGTCTGTATGCTTGGCAATGTATCTAGTAAGGTTAAACCAGCACCAATTTACAGTTCAGCACCAAGATGGGCACACGTTTCAAAAAGGCTTACTGCGCAAACAGTCCAAAAGGGCGGAAATCGCCTTTGTGCGGAAATACGTGAAGCGCAGCACGCGGCGTGGGGAAGCTGCAAAAACACTTCAAGAACAGCCCTATGCAGCCCTGAGCTTACACGGCAGCTGACTTGAGAGCTGCACTGTCGCTGTTCCTGCGAGTTCTGCTGTTATGCCTTTTCTTAATAGTAGCAAAGAACTGGG